TAGTCAGGTTCTCTACCCCTTGAGCCATGTCCCCAGCTCCTTTTTGCTTTGGCTATTTTTCACATTGTAAGGTCCGTTCCTGGATGGCCAGCAGACTCCACCCTCCTCGCAGCAAAGTCTCCACCCAGTACCTGAATTACCTAGGCAACTGGGACACCTGGAAGAGGTCACATCTGCATCCGCTGAGGTCACATCTGAATTTGATGTGGCCACACCTTTCTCCTCCCATATCCTAGATAAGGGCTAGCCCAGGCCCAGGCTCTCTCTCTGTTCGTTTCTAGCTCTCTCTGCTTTCTTTCTGCTCTAGCTCTTTCCTCTCTCTTTCCTCTTTTCCTCTCTTTCCTCACGTGGAGTGCCAACCTTGCCTGGTCCCAGCAGGTCTACTGAATAAACCTACCCCTTACCTGAATACCACGTGAGTGCTGCTGTTCTTACTCGAGTACCTCTTTTAAAAAACCTAACACACATAAGGCCTCTATTTTTCTCCCCAGGTCAACCTGAACCTTGATCCTCCGACTTACAGTTTTTGATTAGCTGGGTTTGAAGCAGGTTAGCTATAGGGAAAGAATTTTGAAACCAACCCACTCACCTAGTCCCTCTCCAGGAGATATCCATGAGGTCTATCTCCTCCCTAGAACATCCCACAGCCACTCCTGCTTGTGGGTGATGAGTGGTCAGTTTGTAGTTAGGACCTCTCCTAGGGGAAGATGTAATCAAACTGAGTAGAATGCATTGTGTCACTAGCCTGATCTTTGTGTAGCAAACTCCAACATATATGTATTTCATACATATACTTAAAACTATGGGATGGTAGCCCTGTACAGGCACAGATCCCCTATAAAACTCTGCCCAAGTCTGGCTCCTCTATTTCTTTTCTTTTTTCTTTTTCTTTCTTTCTCTCTTTTTTCTTTCTGGTTATGAGGCCTGAACCCTGGGCCTGGGCGCTGTCCCTTAGCTCTTCAGATCAAGGTTAGCGCTCTACCACTTGAACCACAGCGCCACTTCCAGCTTTTTCTGCTTATGTGGTGCTGAGGAATTGAACCCAGGGCCTCATGCATTTGAGGCAAGCGCTCTACCACTGAGCCTCCTTTCCAGCCTGAGGATCCCTATTTCCCTAAGATCAGCCCACTATCATTACCATTAACTCCTCCCACTTGCTCCAAATCCTAGAAAGTGGAAATTTCCTTAAGTATTCATTTGCTCTTGTCCCACCTAACTCAGGCCACTGTTTCCAGTAACAAAGTACTTTCTCCCTCTCCTTCACTCCTTGCTTTGCCACTTTCATTCAAGTCTTTGCTGGAGACACCAAGAATCTGCGGTCTTCACCTCTAAACTGCTCACAGGTGACATGGTCACAGGTACTTACAGCTCACTACACCTTTATTGATTGAGCTGGACTTCTTGTTTCTCTTAGGGTTAGCCTGGAACAGTGATCTTTCCTCCCTATCTCTGCCTCCTGAGTAGCTGGAATTACACATATGATCCACCAATTCCTTCTCAGCCTTTTTAAAAAACAAAAAACAAACAAAAAACAAGAACAAGACACCATCCAAAACTGAAGAAAAATATCTCGTGAGAAATGATATGAAAATGTTTTGACTTTGACTTACATATGATTAAGTGCACATAATTTTGCTATGACAACTCAATACTTTGTGGAGAGGTCGAGCATTTAAATGATTCTTATATGTGAGTTTGAAGTGTGGTTCAACTAGAGCTCCAGCCTACCTAGTGCAAAGCCTTGAGTTCAAACCCTAGTATCCCTTGAACAATAACAAAACCCAAAGAAACCACACATAAAATGGTCTTTATTTGTGATTACCCCCTGTACTTTAAAATTTACATTAAGTATATTTGTTCATAGCTTACCTGATTCCACAAGGCATTTGAATGCATTTGTAATATGAAATATCCTCTAAACTGAAAATAAAAAAGGAATAATCCAGATCCTAGATTACATACAAAGGAATATAATGTTAGACCATGTTGTAAGGGAACTCAGTCGCGAAAAACAGAGAAGCCACCACTTTAGAGGCCAAATTGGGAGTCTTTATTGGAGAGCTGGTGGACTGCTGATGATCTCTTATCTCAAAGACCAGCAGCCCTGAATGCAGCTAGCACAAAGCTGATATAGGCCAAGACCATATAAAGTGTGTGGAATTAAATCTAAAAAGTGTTATGCATAAGCAAAACAAACCAGAGGAGGACACTTAAACCCAACAGCAGTTGAATAAAAGCAAACTATCTAGAGAAATAATCAGAGGGCATTATCTAGGGGAAGCATTGACTCAGTTTCCTTACTTCAACCAGATGCCCCTCATCTTTGCTATGCCTTAAAATCAATCACCTAGCTTTTGAGAATACAGAAGCTCAGACTCCCATTTATGGCTGTCACAGGCAACCTTAAAGGCATCTTGCAGACACATGGGGATTTTTCAAACTGCCTGATACCCACTTGGCCTCTGGTACCAGTTACATCAGAATGTATCAGAATGCCTCCCCACAGGAGGCAGTGTTTCCACGCGCTGCCCTCTTGGGAACTACTGCTGGTCTTGGCCACGTGTCTCTTCCTTACAAGTGAATTAGCACCACCTGGGATATTACTAAGATTACTGATGCCTGTCCACCTCCCTAGACTTTTAGTTTCCAATAGTAGGGGCAAGTGCTCAGTCTATTTCGAAACTCCTGAAATGAGTGCAATGTGCATTCTACCCAATGGACAGAACACTTGCATTGTGGGGGAGGTTGGCACATAGTTATAAAGAGGACTGAATTCTTTCTAGTGGGTTCTTTTATGGTATAGGGCCATAGAATTGGCCCTGAGTTTCCTGGAAGCCAAAGTAAATTGGAAAAAAAAAACCACAATGAGTTCAAACTTTTTTTTATTTTTATTTTTGGTCATCTACAATGCAAAAGCATATTAGTTCCTTGAAAGAAATCAAGCTTTTCTTCATGGGTCTGAAATAAATGTGTTGGATTCTTCAGGATCGGAATGACGTCACGCTTTTGTGAGCACTCCACAATAAATGACATATGGCAAGCCTCCTACAATCCTTTCCAATAAGCATCCCTTAGGGAAAGACACCGACCGCAGACTGAAGGTGAGAGGCAGGGACTACCGGGTGGGGTAGGATGATGGAAGAGGAAACATGATCCCCCCACCCCCAGTTCTCACACTTACAGCCTCATCCAAAGAGAAAGACCTGATCCCATCCACCACCTCCATGATTGATGGTGCGATTCAAAAGCATACTTTTCCCTCGGAAAATTTAAATAGATATGAATTTCGCCCGTAGAAACGGCATAAAAGTTGGGAGAAGCCCAGACTCCCATGACGAGCGGGCGGAAGGGCATCTTAGAATGGGGATACCTTTTACCAAAAGAAGAATCTAGAGTTGCAAGGCTGAAAACTTCCGGCGTGCTCAAAATGAGGGTTGTCTTTGACATGTTCGGCGCTCAACGATGACTTTTTTTTCCCCCTCAGCTGGGATTTTAATCAAGAATGGCTTAAAGGGGGCCAGCAAGGTATTGACTCCACGGGACACCGGTTTTAAGCCCCAGTCTTGTTACCGGGAGGCAGAGGCGCACTTAAGGTTTGGATGGGTGCGCCCCGTTTCCTTTTGGGGGTGCAAGGGAGCAGCAGATCCGTGGCGAGGTGTCTGGGGACTGCCGAAGTCACCGCTGGCTCACGTTTATTCTCAGTTTTCACTGAAAATCCTAAAGGCACTAGGGACGTTTGTTTCTTTTTTCTTTTCAGAGGCAAACAGCCAAGTTCGCCCAGTGTTCCTTTGGAACTTAACGTTTAAATGTAAAGAGCAGCTTTCCTGGACAAAAATAAAAGTCAAGTGACGAATTTCTCTCGTGTGTTTGAAAGTAGTTTCTTGCATTCTTCTAAATCCAAAGGATTCTACGAGACGCTAGCCGGGCAGCGGGAGGAACCCCGGCGGGCCATCCAGACGTCCACGTCGTGTGCACAAGCAAGGGAAACCTGAGCGAGACCTCTCGCGTTGAGTCGGCCCGGTGTGTGCTCGGGGGTCGTCGCGGGGCTGGGTGCGTTCTCGGCGGGCGCGGGGTTGGGTTTGTTCCCGGGTAAGGCTGGCTCGGGCAATGGCGACGGGCGGCCACACCGGGGCAGCCTCCGTTCGGCTGGCGGCCGGGCCGGGCGCATCGCCCCGCGGAGCTGACGCGGGAGCCAAGTCCGGCCGGCTGGCGTGGCCAAGAATTTTTTTTTAAAAAAAAGGGTCTAGAGACATCCATCGTTCTCTCCTCCTTTAACCTCAGCGATCGGGGTTTAACCACCTCCCGCCCCTCCCCCCAAAAAAATCCAAAGAGAGATCGGTGGACATGGACGTGGCGATTTTGTTATTGGGTAGATGTCCTCGTGTCCCCCCCTCGCCCCCAACCGTAAGGTCCAGTCCGCACCTTCCGCAGAGCAGCGGGGAGCGGGCCCGGGGCGGACCCGGAGCTCCGCGCGCCCGGCTCCGCGCGCCGAGGCCCGGGTGGGCGTGGGCCGAGATCGCCGCCCCCGCGGCCCGCCCCCCAGCCCGGCCTGTGATTGGCTTGGGGGGCGCGAGCGCCCGCCCTGGCAAGCGGGGAGGGTCTGCTCCCGGCGCCCGGTGGGAGGAGGCAGCGGCGGAGAGGCGGGGAGAGCGGGGGCCGGGACGGACGGCGAGGGGGGCGGGCGAGCCGGGTCTCGGGGTTCGCAGAGTCCGATCGGAGAGGGGCGGAGAGCGGCTGGCGGGCGGGGAGGACCAGAGGGCGGGCGGGAGGAAGCAGGGGAGTGCGGGGAGGGGAAGCCCGGAGGGCTCCGCGTCGCCGCCGCCGCCGCCGCCGCGCGCTGGGATAGGCGCCGGGACTGTCGCCGCCGCTCGGCGCGCTCTCCGGAGCCGCCAGCCCGCACGTCCCGCAGCCTTCCGGGAGGAGGCGTGCGCCCGGCCACCTTCACCTGCCGGCCCCGGCCGCCTCCCGGGCGGGCTGCGCGCAGGGCCGGGTGCGGGACCGGCCGGCCGCGGAGCAGAGCGGAGATCGGCGACCCCGCGCCGCAGCCCAGTTACCCCGGAGCGCCTCGGATCCCGTGCAGGGCGCCGGCTCCATGGCGACCGGACTCGGGGAACCAGTCTACGGACTTTCGGAAGAGGAGGTGAGCGGCGCCCCCTTCCCGCCAGGGGTTCTCCGAGGAGTTCCTGCCCCGTGCCGGCCTGGAGGGGGACGGGGCCATCGCCGAAGCGCCCACCCTTCCCGCGCCGGCCGGGGAGTGGGGTCCTCGGGACTCCCCCCCCCCCCAGCCGCGCGCATTGTTTGTAAATAATCGACGCGACGCCTTCGGAGCTGGGCTTCGCGCCGCAGCTCCCCGCTTCGGGGGCGGCGGAGGGCGCGTGCGCCTCTGTGCCCCGCGGGTCCCTTTCTTCTGGCCGCGTCTCCGGGGTGTTGGGCAACTTTGCTCTGTTGCCCCTGCAGCCCGGAGTACATGACGTGGGTCACGTCTGGGTGGGGCGGGGGCTGCGGGGGGGGCGCGATCGTCTCCCCTCCTCCCCCCTGGAAGTTTGTTGGGACCGATCGTGACCGCGGGCTCTCCGACTCGACGGGGCGCCGGTCCAGTTGGGAGAAGCGGGGGGTGGGGGTGGGATGGGGGGGGGGGAGAAGACGCCAGGAGTTGCTTTGCAGTCTGCAGCCAGGATTGTGCATTTCGGAGCGTGTGTGTGTGTGTGTGTGTGTGTGTGTGTGTCTGTGTGTCGCCAAGGAAGGTAGCAGGTGCTGTTGCTGGAAACTTGCAGCCCTGCCATGTTTTTCCTCCCCAGGATTCTGTGCCCCGCACCTCTGGGGTGGGTGGAGGGAGCCGAGCTCCATTGATCTCTTTTATTAATAAAGCGAATGAAGTAGGCACGCCCCCAGACGGTCGGTTTGGCAGGAAGGGGGCTTTGTTTTCGCCCGGACTCTTTCTTGCGTTTCCTATTCCCTCGTTTATTTATTTATTTTCCCCCTCTCAACGATCGGGCTCACTCTCCGACCAGCCTCTCTGGACCAGCCACGCTCGGTTCTTATTGGTGTGTTGTTCTGCTAAAAAAAAAAAAAAAAGGTGGGGGGAGGTGGGTGGGTGGGTGGGCCCGCGGCGGGCGCGGCGAGACGGGCAGGCTGCCGAGAGCAGGTAGGAGTGGTTTGCCATCTGGCGGGGTGCGCGCCCAGCTCTGGCTCCCCTTTGGAGAGGTGAATTTACAACCCCTGAAGCATTACTCAGCAGGGAGGTATTTCCTATCCTGGTTGTGCATTTCATGAAAAGTTGATGCCTGGAAATGCAGGCTTTCTCGATTTCTCTTTATCCTCCTTTCTTTCTTCGGAGGTTCCCTCTTTCTCTGGTTGATGGGGGTGGGGTTTAAAGAGAGGGTATTATCTGAGCCTGGCTCACGTTATGGCTTCCTTTTCTGATGCTTTCCTACTGTGGCGTGTGTGTGTGTGTGTGTGTGTGTGTGTGTGTGTGTGTGTGTACGTGTGTACTTTATCTAAATGTGTAATGAAATAAGTATCTTGGCAGGAGGAGGGCATGTTGGGGTTGACTTTATTTTATTTCCTCTTGAAGGTGCTAGGCAAGGTTTGCTCTGGTGTTTGTTTTATCAAAGAACGACCACAGTGCAAATGTAATGTGTGATTTGTCTTTTTGATTTCCTTTCCCATGCCTTGCTTGTGTAAAAGAATGTCCCTTTTTGTGTGTGTGTAGTCACCTGGAGATGGGTGAAAAGTAGCTTTGTCTCGTTTACCCAGGAGACATCCTGGCTTCTGGGCTTTATCTGGAGCTTTCTCTTACATCCTCCACTTCTCCATTTAATTAGTGGCAGCCCGGATCCCTTTGAGGTGCTGAGATACGGACAGACATATTCCTAAACAAAGGGCTGCTTGAACCGAGGTTATCTTGGGGGATGAAGATAGCTATTATCTCTTCTTAGATTCTTTAAAAAGATTTTTAATAATGTGATTATTTGTAAAAGCTCCCTGAAAAAAATGTTTTAAGAATGTTTTGGGAAATGCAGTTGCTGAAGGAATTCCCGTCCTTGGTCCTCGTTGTTGATCTAATGATGCTTTGTTTATGTGGGTAGTTGGTGTCACAATTCACCTAGAGTGCATCTTGCCACTTGTGTCTGGGTGAGTCACTTACTGTTCTAAGCCGAAGTGGAGTGTGAACGTGGAGGAAGGAAGGGTGTAAACAGCGTGGGGGGACTTCTGTGAGGGGGTTCACTCTGGAATAGCCAAGAGTATTAGAGACTGTAGAGGGACTAGCAAAAAGGTGCTGAAGACATCTTTGATTATTCATTGCCACCATGCTGGGATGGCTCTGCTCCACACACGGTATACAGTACACAGACAACCCTTATCTGTCTTCCTTTCTCAGCTACTAGTGAGGAAAACCACGCAAGGGGTGTTTGGATAACTTCACATTTTTGTGGTATTTGTTTTTTCTGGGAGGTTTCTCATTGTTAGATTGCCATGTGGAGACTCAGGGAATGCCTTTGTAGCATATTAACAACAAATGGTTGATTTTTTGGGGGGACCACTTTGGCCTGTCTCCCTAAATTAGTGTAGTGAAGAAAACAAATGGAAGATTTTCACCAGGGTCTGGAAATAGGAGGTCTGAGGAAACAAACAGCCAGAGGTGGGTTTTGCAAGGTGTGTTGCATATGGGCACCTCTCCTAGGTGAGTGGACTATGCAGTTGAAGTTATTTTGATTGCTACAGAGAGAGCCTGCTTGTAAGCCACCCATACCTAGAGGGTCTCCTATGAGTGAATTTGTAACATGTCTTTGAAGTTATGGAAAGTACAAATATAAAAATAAATTGTACTTGTATTTGAGGATAATGGTGCTTTCTTACAAAGACTGTTGAGGTCTGGAGCACTCAATGGAGAAGCACATCCAGTGTTCACATGGAACAGAACTATTCCTTGGACCAATAGCCTAGGTCTGTCAGCCAGCCTTGGTCTGTCCTGCTTATGGAAGGAATTAAGGTGAGGGCTTTACACTGCTTTATTGTTGCGGTGCATTTCTGGCTGAGGTTCCTCTGGAGATTGTATAATTCATACTCACTCTGGTTTAAACAAGGTCAATTTGGGCAACCAAATTGGAAATCATCACCAGATGAGTTCTGTTGAACAAAACTTCTTATTCATGACTGAGGATTAGATTGCGTTTGGAATCAGAACTGTTTGGACTGGTTTTTGTGTCTGGCTTGGGTTCTTTAGATGTTGTTTTTTTTAATATTTATTCTTTTTTTTTTTTTTTTGGCCATCTGTAGCACTGTTTGGCATCATTTACTCATGAATGCTACTGCTAACCTTCTGGAAGGGTTTTATTACATCTCAGAAAGGTATCTTTTATTAAAAGGACTTTCTACTTGGTGAAGCATTAGCTTAAATGACAGCCTTCTTTTAAGAGGAGATAGGACTGTTTATTTGGTGCCAGTTCTGGGACTTGAACTTAAGGCCTAGATGCTGTCCCTTTGCTTTTCCTCCTCAAAGATAGCACTCTACCACTCGAGCCATAGCTTCACTTCTGGCTTTTTGGTGGTTAATTGGAGATAAAAGTCTCCCAGACTTTCCTGCCCAGGCTGGCTTCCAACTGAAATTCCTTAGACCTGAGCCTCCTAAGTAGCTAGGATTACAGGCGTGAGCCATTGGTGCCCCAGTTAGGATTTTCTTTATTGATTTATTCGTGATTAGGAACTCGCTAACACACATTGAGGCTAACCTTTGGCATAGATAACATATTTCTTTCATTTTGCCGACAGTTTTCAGAAGCATCATTTTATGTACCAGTAGGAAAGAAAAAAATAGCTGTCACATTATGACATTCTGTCAGTTTTAAGAAGCATCTCTATTTCAGAGATGTTAAAATATGAAAATAAGTATGTTTTAGAACTGATGAATTATAATGATTAAACCTCAGGTAAGCCTAAGTCATCAGTTTCAGTACCATCATCCTTTAACACTTTCTTGGGTGGGTGGGTGGGTTGGGGTTTAAACTCAGCTTGTTACGCGTTCTATGCCTTGTGTTTTTCCACTGACCTATAGCCCCAGCCCCAAGACATGTTTAAATCAGCCTTTAAGTCAGATTTCTGCCTCTTTTTTTGCATCTGAAAAGAAGGGCTGCAGAAGGAAGGGCTGTGAATGGGTGTCAGCGGGGAGGCAAGCAGGAAGAGCCACCTCTAAGTGATGAAGAATAATTAATTTTAAATAGGGGACCCCAGTGTGTTTTGGAAGAGGTTGGTAAATCCTGAACACCATGTTTGCAGAGCTGTGCCATACAGTCAAGACTAGGTTGCTTTGGGAAATTACAGTGTAGGCATTGTTTGCATCTCAAGGTGCATGCTGACTGGCAGTTTTCTGCAGGGAAGTCTTGCCCAGTCATGCCAACCCCAAGTGTCTGTGCTGGGCTGAATACATAGCTAAGACAGGGGCCACCGTACTTGGTCTGTGCCAGGAACTGTTGGAGAAATAACTAAAATGGGCCTGGGTTTTGTGGTGACATTTAAAAGCAGTTACATGTTTATGTTTGCAATGCTAGGGATCAAACCCAGGGCCTCAAGCATGCTAGGCAAGTGCTCTACCACTGGACTGTGTGTACAGCCAACGATATAAATATATGTGTGTGTAGACATACATCTATGTGTGTGTGTTTATAAGTGTGTATATACCAGCTCAGATCAAGTGTTTTGTCTTGGTACTAGGGTTTGAACTCAGGGCTTCATGTTCGTCATTCAGCCTCTTTGCCATTTGGGCTATGTCTCTAAACCTTTTTGCTTTTGTTCTTTTACAAATAGGGTCTCACATTTGTGCCAGGGTGCTCTGAACCCATCTTCCTATTTACACTTCCTGTGTAGCTAGGATTACACACATAACGGCAATACACCTATTTTATTGGTTGAGATAGCGTTTTGAGAACCTTTTCCCCCCTGGGCTGGCCTTCAACCTGCTATCTTCTGGATCTTTGCCTCTGGGTGGCTAGGATTATAGGTGTGAACCACTGTACGTAGTCCCCAAACAGTTCACTGATGGTTTTGTTTTCAGTTGTACTGTCATTAAATTTTACTTTTTATCAAGCATGGTAGCACATGTTTGTAATTCCAGCACTTGAGAGGCTAAGATAGGAGAATAGT